ACGTAATTTATTTCTCTCTCCAAATTCTATAGAATTATCACAAGTTTAAGTGAATTAACTGCATGTTAATTTCCTTTATCTCTTCTCTATTTGTGAGTTAAATAAGTGCAATCAAAAGAAGTAAAATTACTGGTGCAGCAGATTCTTCCGCTAAAAATGACGGAACCATCGGCTTCAAACGGTTCACCAACTGAAGTCAACAAAGATAATGCACAAGAAGCTATGTCCTGGGAAGTTGTGTCTGGACGAAAACGACATGTAGCTTCAGACAGAGATCCACGTTATAAACAAATAAAGGTTAGTGATACTATTGCTACTAACAATAGATTTGAAGTTTTATCAAGTACTCCGGAAGATAGACAGAAAATAATAATCCCATTATTATTAGACCTCCACCTATTCACATAAACGACGTGAAAGACAACACGGCCTTAGTAACCTATCTTCACAATGAAGGTGGCCCTAACAGTTTCAGGTTAAAAACATCTATAAGAGGAGTCAGCGTGTATCCTGAAAATGTAGAAGTATACCGTAGGCTAGTGACCAGTCTTAGAAGGGGTGGAGCTGATTTTCACATGTATCAACTCCCGGAAGATAAAACCCCGCGAATCGTCATTAAAAATTTACACCACGCCACACCTCCAGCCACCATAAAACGTGAACTTGCCAACTATGGTTACGAGGCAACCAATGTTGTAAATGTTATTTCAAGACTTAAAACACCGTTGCCAATGTTTTTCGTTGACGTGACCAAAGCAACTTTCAATGAAAAAATTTTCGACATTGAATTCTTATATTATACACACGTGAAAATCGAAGAGCCAAGAAAAAAAAGGATCATTCCGCAGTGTATACGGTGTCAGCAGTATAGCCATACCAAGACGTACTGCAACCACCAGCCAAGGTGTGTCAGATGTGGTATGGGTCACGAAACCACTTCCTATACAAAGAGTCGAGAAACAGTCGCAAAATGTGCCACATGCCAAGGACCACATCCTGCCAACTACAGAGGTTACGATACTTTGAAAGAGTTAAGGAAGAGTAGCACAAGAAACCATACTCTGCAGAGGCCTCCTAGAGTTCAACCCCCACTACCAGAATTACACAAGTTCCCGCCACTGCATCAGCCTCAGCACCCTCATCCTATTCACTCAGGACCAGAACTGCAGCAGCAGAGACAGCAACGAGAACCAGCACCGGCAACAAACCAACAACAGAGACCTAAAGGTATGAGTAGGGGCATTGCCCAAACGCTCCCTACTATTGAAAACGCCTCAGGTGATATCATACATTTAATTAGCGGTCTCAATAACCTCATACAACCCCTCTTCAGTCTTCTACAACAGCTAACTCAGGCTACTCCCGCTCTTACCCAAAAATATGCCCCTTAATCAGTCGACTATGGGTTCCATGTCTATTATACTATGGAACGCAAACGGACTGTATCAACATAGAACCGAACTAGACATATACTTACACGAGAAACGCATTGACATTGCACTAATAACAGAAACACACCTGACACCACATTCTAAATTTTACATCCGTGGTTACAAAATCTACAGAACTGACCACCCTGACGGAAATTCACATGGAGGCACTGCTATAATTATCAAAACAATTCTAAAACATAATCCATTACAACTACCCATAACACCAGAGATTCAAGCTACAGCCATTACACTATCAACACAACAACAAAACATTACTCTTGCTGCGGTTTATTGCCCTCCGAGGTATGTCCTGACACCCACGTTGTTTAATAATTTCTTTAAACGTCTTGGTAGATGCTTTGTTGCAGGAAGCGACTACAATGCCAAAGATCAGTTCTGGGGATCCAGATTATCTACTCCAAGAGGAAGGAATCTCAGGTATGTTGTTTATGAGCTTTCATTAGACACAATATCACCTAATTCACCTACTTACTGGCCAACTTCTAGACGGAAAACACCAGACTTACTCGATTTTTTCATAACTAAAGGACTCCGAACAACACCTCACACCATAACAACGAGTTCAGATCTTTGCTCTGATCATTCCCTTTTGCATTTGGTATTGTTTGAAGAGCCTTGTGAAGCAAAAAAAAAACTGTCCCTGATCAATGGCATAATGGCTTGGGACAGGTACAAGAACCATTTGGACACTGCTCTCTCTGTTCCTCAATTCATTAAAAACAAAGAACTTGAGGATGCCGTTGAATACTTCACACGAAATATTCAAGAAGCAGCATGGTCTACATCAGTAGCAAAACCTCAAAAATATGAGTTGCTACCAATGTAACCACAATACATAAGGGACTTGATCAGAGCGAAGAGGAGAGCTCGCAAAATATGGCAGACTGACAGACATCCATCAGATAAACGAACTTACAACAGACTTAATAATGAACTCAAGCGACAGATTGGAAAATTCAAACGAACAACCTATAACAGCTACATCAGAAATCTCTCAACCGACGATGGAAGCTTGTGGAGACATACCAAAAACCTCATTAAGTATCGTGAAGTGTCAGCACCCCTTCGAAGAGAAGATGATTCCTGGGTCGTGACGGACGGAGAAAAATCGGAACTCTTTGCCGAATATCTTTCTTCTGTTTTTGTACCAAACACAGACTTCACTAACACTGTGCATGATAAAAATGTACTAAACACTTTAGACGTGCCCTTACAACAAACTTCATCTCCTATTTCATTCACACCTTCCCAGATTGCTGAACAAATCAAAAAGTTGCCTAAAAGAAAAGCTCCTGGACATGACTTGATTAACGAAGTGCTCCAACAAATGTCTAGAAAAGCTCTAGTGCTTTTGACAACTATTTATAATGCAATACTGAGGACAACTAAATTTCCACTACAGTGGAAATACTCACATATAATAATGATTGGCAAGCCTAACAAGGACAAAAACTCACCTTCCTCATACCAGCCAATCAGCTTACTGCCTATCTGTTCTAAAATTTTTGAAAGCTTAATGAACAAAAGACTTGTTGATATACTAACAAACACCCAAATAATACCTGACCATCAATTTGGATTTAGGGCACATCACTCAACTGTACACCAACTACATAGAGTAACTTGCTACATATCTACAGCACTAGAGCAGAAAGTTTATGCAACTGGCGTATTTCTGGATGTTGCTCAAGCGTTTGACAGAGTTTGGCACCAGGGCCTTCTCTTTAAATTTAAGACAATTCTCCCACCTACATATCTAATTTTACAATCCTTCCTTTCCGATAGATTTTTCTCAGTCCGGCACGGGTCAGAGTTATCGTCCATCAGGTCTATCTCAGCAGGAGTACCTCAAGGTTCAGTACTCGCTCCACTACTCTATATCAAATACACCCACGACATACCTTGCAGTCCCAACATTTTAACAGCGACATATGCAGACGACTTAGCAATTTTAGCAAGACACAAAAATCCAATATACGCCTCACATACCCTAGAACAGTATTTAACAAGATTACATGACTGGCTCAAAATTTGGAAAATCCGACTAAATCAAGACAAATCACAGCACATCACATTTCCGCTTCGACATGAAACATGCCCTCCAGTTTTCCTTGACAATACACAGATTCCACAGACAGACACCGTCCACTACCTTGCTCTGACATTTGACAGAAAAATGACGTGGGGCCCAAATATAATCAAGAAACGAAAAACTCTAAATCAAAGGTTAAGAATTCTGAGTTCACTTCTTTCGAAAAATTCAAAACTAAAACTTAGACAGAAATTGAACACGCACAATTACTTACTAAAACCTATTTGGACTTACGCATCACAGATATTTGGAACTGCTAAAAAGACTCACTTAAGCAAACTTCAAATCTTTCAAGCAAAAACATTCAGACCAATTACAAAAGCACCTTGGTACGTTAGCAACATAACCTTACATAATGACTTCCATATGCCGACTGTTAACGAACACATACGAACTCTTTACAAACGATTCCATGGCATCCTTACAAGGACATCCTAATACACTTATAAATGACATGGCCACTACGAATATGCCAGGTAACGTCTGTAGGAGACTGAAGAGGAGCTGGATGACGGACCTCCTGCCTATTGTAGATATCACGCCGAGTGAGGTAGGTCCCGCTGGGCACTGATCCTCCTCATGCATTTCATGACATTATATTTTGCAATCGACCTCACATTCACTGGTTGTCATTACCATTATGACAGGTGTGAATAAAAAATTAAAGCAAAAAAAAAGTATTCTCTGGTCCAAGAATAAATTTATTTGTCTATCGTATTCAATTTAAAAAAATATATATTTATTTCTACCTTCAGCTAATTAGTTAGTTAAAACTTAGGTAAAAACTAATGAGAAATTTTTTAAAATATTAAAGAAATCACGCTGTTAATTAAGTTTAAACTTGGGTGATAAATATTCAGGATGCAGTCATAATAAAGTTTTTTTTGGTGCCGACGTTTCAACCCAATCAGGGCGTTCAACGTGTTTATTATCAGGGCTTGTTTCTAGCACTGAAGGTACTCAAGTACTGGGATTCCAGGATACTGTTATATATCTCAATATTAATCACCCATGATATGTAGAAGAGTCGATAAACTTCTTTCAACAAGTTAAAACATAATACAGAATAAAGAATTTTCTAAGGAATAAGTCTAATAAATAATTCAAATGGTTGTTGTTCAAATAGATAACTTACTTGTTATATAAATTTTAAGTTATTGATTTTTTTTAACAGTATTAGCATTGGGTATAAAGTCGATCCTACATGTAAGTAATCTTTCTCAAAAATTGAGCATTCTCAATGAAAGTACACTGGGAGAAAACCAAATGTTCATGCAACCTTAAATATAGAATTTAACTAATTAACAATAATAAAAAATACATTAATTTTTATTACAATACAAATATTAACAAAGGGAATGATTATATCTTTCATAGTATGTATAATTAAACTAAGCCTACTAAATTACGTTTTTCTATGGATTACTATAAACATCCCCATTTACTTATATCTAGAGACAATAATTTTATAAATTATAAGGAAAAAATCTTATGATTATTATATTTTTGCCATATGAAGAAATGGACAGACATATTTAAATATTTCATCTGTGAAATTAAGTTTTAACAGCTAAACAAAAGACGCCATTGCTATGTGCTGACTGTTGTTGAGAATTGGTGCCTCTAGACTTGTTTTGATCCAGTTTTTTTTTTTTTTTTTGGTTTTTTTTGTATTGAAATACTTATCTGTGATATTTAGTTTAATTTAGTGAGTATCTCTAGATTGATTTCATACCATATCTAATTTGACGTGTGTGTAATATTTTTCGACAATGCATATTTATCTAGTAATTAGTGGATACCAGTCTCCCATTTTATTATTACCTAGGATTGTTAGATTTTGTGTTTTCTTTTAGGTCGAAATGTCGGACCAGCAACAGTTTTTCTTAAAGTGGAACGATTTCCAATCCAACATGGTTAGCTCTTTTAGACACCTTAGGGATGAGAAAAGTTTTACTGATGTAACCCTTGCCTGTGATGGGCAGACTTGCAAAGCTCATAAAATGGTATTGTCAGCTTGCTCACCCTACTTCAAGAGCTTATTAGAGGTATTTTATTGCATATTTATTACTCATGATTTTTTAAACTGTTTAAGTTAAAACAACATAACCTGGATGTTGACAGTTGCAACCAATATTTGATTGAGACTTCTGCTTATTTTATTAAAAAAACAGTTGTTTTGCTAATTAATTTATAGTTATTTCTACCATTCTCAAGCAAAATTTTCAACTGTCATTTTATCTTTTTTTCAAAGTGCTAATTGGTTATGTTAAAATTATGAAATATCCTGCGATACTCTTTCAAAACAATTGTTGAAGATAGAAGTTGGTTTCATGATCACTTTGAACAAACTGTAGGTGGAATCGTGAAGCTACCTCTGTGTATTCTAATAATTAGTCAGCTGTTCATATAACGTTTACTTCTTGGAAACAAACATTGCTTTTATGTTCTGGTCAAAAATAGTGAACATCCCTTATATTCTTTCATATAATTAAGATGTTATGAATTCAATAATACTGAAACACTGCTGCAATCAAAATTAAATTGATATTATAAATATATTATCCCGTTTTCTAGGTTGTATGGTTATTAAAGATTATAATAATTTTAGTAATCACATAAGTCCAATGCTTTATCCACAATCACGAATAAAACACCATTTTTCTAATTAATCTCATCAAGTTTCTGTCTGTGTATTTTAGCTATATTTTGTTAATACATGTTTTGTCATTTGTTGACAAACAAAAATTATCAATACTGAGCTATCTATTAATCCGAAAAGGTTTTTCGGTATTCAGAGTCATGTCTGGATGAAAAGTGGCAACCTTAGTCACCTTAGTATACTGAAAGAAGCTGAGGATTCTACTTTACAAGTATTATTATACTTACAAGTACATAGACCTACATGATGGATGGACCCAAGATCACATGGTCACACTGATAGAGGAATACCAATAGATAATATAGTACATCCTTTGTTTTGATGGGTTAGGTTACTATTTCAACACCATTTATTTTTTCTGACATTTATTAAAACCCATGCATAGTGGTGCGAATCTAGGGGGGCAAAAGTCTTGAAGGTATGTTATGTAAAGTATTTTCTCCTCATCCATACTACTCTGTTATTTTTATAACAATTTATTGGATGATTTGTAAACCATTTCTTGTCTAAAACCAGTATGTTTTTTTATATTTCATGGAAATTTTGAAATCCAAATATTATATTTCTATAGTAAAATATCACTTGAACCGAGATCATCGAATTTTACTGTCACTTATCTACTATATACCTAATATATATAGTATTACGTTATAATTCGTTATAAGGGTAAGTATTGCGATCGTGAAAATTGTTGAATCTGAGTTTGCAACGGAAATACTCGTTTTGAGGTCCCCTAAGTCCAAATAACCAAGTCTCGAAAAATGGTCTGTGTGTGTGTGTGTGTGTTAACAGTCTAGCTTAACATATTCTTACGATTACCTCAAAAACTGCTCTAACGATTTTGATTAAATTCATCATATCAGTGTAAAATTAAGCAGTTTTAAATAAAACATGGTTATTATTCTGATTGATGTTCTCTAACAGGGCTTAAATGGCAAATTTTCAATATTAGCATCCTCTAAAGTACCTTTAATTTTTTTTAATTGAAATTTTGGTGGAATTTTTTTAGTACATAAATATTTTTTCAAATTGGAAATAAATATTCAATGGATATCATTTATGATGGTATCCAGTAATTATAATGATCTTGAATGGATATACTTCGTCATTATCCACGATCACGTTAACGACCACGGTCACTATATTCATTCACCTCTGACTATCAATAATGGCATTAGACGTTATATTGCAATCAGACAAGAGTTATGAATAAAATTAAAGCAAAATAGACTTTTTTGAAAAGGAAAACATACATACCAATATTATTTACGCTTTGTATTATACACTGACAGGCAAAAAATTCCACCCACTTGATTTTTTTATGTTTTCATCTAAAAATATTTCTGCTTTGGATTGGTCTATTGTTCTTAATGAATAAATAGGTAATCTTTTTGTTTGTTTCCAAATAGGGATGTTAATATAGAGGACACTAACCCTTAATCCTTAATTCAATGAAATGATTCTAGATTCCAATGTTTACATTCTATGGAATCAAAATGTTTATTCAGTATCATTAGTTCAGTGCCATGTCTTGCAGCACATTTCTTAGTCTCCGGCTTTTAATTTTTTAAATATTAATTTTAAAATGCCTCTTAGTGCTGAGGATGTTACGCGTGGTGTGGCACTTATTGATGATGGACGTTCCATTAGATAGATAGCTAATGCCATCGGAGTTCCATATGAAACTTTACGAGACTCCGTCAGGCGTTTTCGGGAAACTGGTTCTTACAATAGAAGGCCCGGTTCTGGACGGCCTAGGGTAACAGAACCACGGGATGATCGGTTTTTGACTTTGAGAATTTTATGAAACCGTCACCTTGCCGTTGTTCAAGCGATTCATCAGCTCGAAGAAGTTCGAGGTGTGCAAATTTCTGAACGTACCGCTCGGAGAAGATTAAATGAGTATGGATTAATGGCTTTTCGTCCAGTAAGAGGAACAGAGTTGACCAGAACTCACAGAGTAACACGGCTGGCTTTTGCTCGAGAACACAGCCATTGGACTATGGACGAATGGAGTGCTGTACTTTTTACAGATGAGTCAAGATTCGCTATTCGATCTCCAGATGGGCGTGAAAGGGTGTGGAGAAGAAGAAACGAAAGATATGCATCCTGTAATTTTTCCCGAGTCAACCTTTCCAACGTGGTTCCTTAATGGTGTGGGGTGGGCTGGGATTTCAATGGATCGCCGCACAGAATTGGTTGTTGTTCGTGGAGGGTCTTTGATGGCCATTCGGTATGTAGATGAGATTTTGGAACCTCATGTGTTGCCTATTCTCAACGAAATCGAAGATCGTTCTATTCTAATGCACGATAATGCATGCCCACATGTTGCCCGCATAGTGCAGACGTTCCTTCAACAGAATAATATTGAGATTTTAGCCTGGCCACCACGTTCTCCAGATTTGAACCCCATTGAGCATTTATGGGATAATCTCGGAAGACGAATAAGAGCGCGTGCAACACTTCCTGATACACTGCAGGATCTTGAAAGGGCTCTTCGGGAGGAATGGGCTATCCTCCAGCAAAGGGACATTTCCCAACTGGTGGAAAGTATGCCAAGGCGTCTTCAAGAAGTAGTGAAGGCAAGAGGAGGAAACACGCGCTACTAAACGATGATGTAATTAATTTCTTTTAGAATAATAATGGTTCATTTTTCAATTTTTTTTTCTCTAATCTTTCTTACCCAATCATATTTTGATTATTAAAGGTAAAAAAGATTATAAAATTCCATAAATACTAAGTATTATCTATAAATACTATGTGTTATATACAAATACAACTTTACAGAAATATTTTTAGATGAAAACATGGAAAAATCAAGTGGGTGGAATTTTTAGCCTGTCAGTGTATATATCTATGGACTTACTGTTTTAAATAATGTAATGAATTTCTTAACAGCAATACTGTCTACAGATAAATGTCCATTCGAAAATTTATCAATCTTAAAATGTAGAGGCCGATCGAGCATTAACATTTAAAAAAATTAAGTTTCACGCATTGAATATTTCAGCATCATGATAATTCTCATGAACTGTCGGCTAAACCTTTGAATTCCATTTGTTGGTTAACTAAAAGAGAATGCTGGCAGTTGCACAGCTATTGTTTTTAAAAACAGTGTGGTGTTTAGGACAGAATCTTAGTATCCTTCCTCACGTAATATTAGTTTTAGATTTATCAAATGGATCGCCATTTGTGTCTCCAGTCATAATGGTGAGGGAAAACTATCATTACACAGGGAAAAGTCAGTGAATTTTTCTTGAGTGATCTGGTAGTCACCCTGAATTTGTTTCTAGTGTCCTTCAAAACTTATCAATACGAATTTGTATTAAAATAAAAAATATAAGTAGTATGGACAACTAACATCTACAAGGTGGTAGATTTGTACAAGATAAGTTTCAAAATAATAGACAAATAAATTATGAAAAAAATTAGTAATAATGTACACAACATTTACAATAATATGTAAAGAAAATTAAAAAAACAATAAAAGTTAGCAACTTTTGAAAATGAGCATCAAATATGGTCTAAAAAACCAATGTGGCCAACCAGATGGGTATCTAGAGTAAGATTACATGCACGAAAGCTGGTAACTTGTTTCTATTTTGTCTGAAAATAAGAAAGAAAGTGCACAGTGCTTTCCACATCTATTCATTAATCTTATTATACCAGGCTAGAAGCTCTCCTCCAGGATATGCCTGCAAGTTTATCTAGTCTGCCTCTTTCCTCTGAACGTTTGAAAAATTTCTTCCCCTGGAATCCATATTCCTCCTCCATACTCCTCCGGTCCCTCATTTACTACCCCCTCTCTCCTTCCCCCATGGGGTTTCTTTCTCTGCCTGGATTAAGTTTAGGATACTTTTGACCCTTCATACCAGATCTGCCTTAATTGAGTTTGCATTTCCTGGGTCAATTAATTTCTTAACTACCTTCAACTTTAGGAGGCAGGGTGGCCAAATGGGCTAATGCATGTGCACAGCACTAGAGATGCCCGGCAACCAGATAACCGGAGAATAGGATATAAAAAAGTACGAGTTTGCGTCCCGTGCCGGAGGGGATTTTAAATCCCCTGCCCTCACCTCTCCCCCGGCCTGAGAAAACCCCGTATAGTCCTGTGAGGTGCCGCTCGCATCTTCATCCACGCCAGAGTGTTTGGGTCTCTGACAACTTATCTGTTGTTAGTGGAATTTTCCTTTCCACAAGCAGGTTTAGCTCTATGTAGTATCGGATCCATCATCTCTCACTGTTTTGTTCATTACAGATCTTGTAAAAAGGTATTTGCCGCCTTAACAAGCCTACTCCATCTCCACCTATTTTGGGCTATTTCTTTCCAGTTATCTGCATGCAGCTCTATTTTATCTTTGTTGATTCGATCTATCCATCGGGTTTTTGTCCTTCCATGTGGTCTTTTTCTTACTAGTGAGGGATTCATCATCATGTAGAGGCTTCCAGATGGATTGCTCCTAGCTATGTGCCCTGCCCATTTTAAGCTCCTTGCCTATATATCTTGAGATATTGATTGGTCAGTTTCTGTAAGCAGTTCTTTATTATTCTTTCTTCTCCATGTGTTAGTACTCTGATCCCAGATCGCTCCAGCTATCGAGCGGAGGATTTTTTTCTCATATCTTTCAACATTCTGCTCTAGGGCACTGATTAGTGTCTAGGTCTCACAGCCATATATTAGAATTGGCTTTATCATAACATTGTGCACCCTTAATTTGAGATTTAAATACCTTTGAAAGGGGAAAAAAGCTCTGTTTGTGCTTGTTGCCAGATATCTTAAATATCTTAAAGATCCAAATTTCTGGAATAAAAACGAGCAAACTAATTCTAACTCTGCTGTTAATTTAACCCTCTAAAGCCTATATTTATTTTTCTAAAATTATATATTTTTTTTATTACAATTTCCTATTCAAAGGGTGCATTGATTGTTTCTGAGAAAGTGAAAATGAAAGAAGAAAAACAATTTTAAAAAATCTGGTGGTGCGATGCCTGCATCACACAACTTTCACTTACCACCGTCTTCTTAACAGAAATAAGCATTTTCAGACAAAGTGAAGCAAAAGTAAAAGTTATAGACTATATTTATTTATATTTCGTTTTGGGTATTTTTATTTGTTAAGTACTCTCCATATATACAAATTTTAATATTTGGTTTTCATTTAAATTTGCCGCGTTACGGCGAGTGGTGGGGGCAGATCTAAAAGATAATAGATAAGACTTAAGCGCTTTGAGAGAGACTCGAAGCCTCAAGACCACTACTTGACCAGCAAGGACCGACGGCGGAGGACCCTCCATGGTAAAAAAGATGTAGGCTGTCACATGGACGGTAACCTATTTTTTTGCGCTACCATTAATCTACCAATCTCTTGAGATATAGTCCATTGCTTAAAAACTAGAATGTTACCATTAAATGTAAAATGTTGCCTTATTGAGACTCATGAGTTATTTTGCCATAATTATAAAAGTTGCCTAAACAATATTTAAAGCACTGTAATCTATACAATTAAATATTAAATAATACCAACAATAGCATTTATGAAGGCCACATATGTATATTTATATAATATTATCGGAGTCCGTATTAGTGTTCTAATCTTTTGGGCAAGCTTGGGTGCGTTCATCTTCCTTGGTTCCTCAATTACAATTATTCTCCGTTACGATCTCTTATTTCTCCTTTAGTTATTTATATAAGTCATTCATATTTTATATTCAACAATTTTATATATTAGAAATTAATGTGAAATGGTCAATTGTTTCAATTAAAAAAAATTAAAGGTACTTTAGAGGAAGCTAATATTGAAAATTAGTCATTTAAGCCCTGTTAGAGAACATCAATCAAAATAATAACCACATTTTATTTAAAACTGCTTAATTTCACACTGATATGATGAATTTAATCAAAATCGTTAGAGTGGTTTTTGAGATAATCGTAAAAATGTGTTTAGTCAATGATATAAAGTGCCACTTCCGGTTGGCTGATTTTGACGAAAAAGTTGCTGTAACATCCGTAGCATATAAAAACCTTAAATATGTAATTTCACTTCCATATGACTTTTTGTTATTGAGCTAGACTGTTAAAACCACACACACACACACACAGACCATTTTGCGGGACTTGGTTATTTGGACTCAGGGGACCTCAAAACGAGTATTTCTGTTGAAAACTCAGATTCAAAAATTTTCACAACCCTTTACCCTTTACCCTTACTATGATCGCAATACTTACCCTTACTATATATTACATATATAGGTAAGTGAAAGTAAAAATTACTGATCTTGACAACTTCGCGGGAAGGTATGTCAAATGTCACATTTGTCTTTTGGGCTACTTTCTTTTATATTGCAGTGTTCAATACATTTTTATTTGAATAATTATAATAACTAATTCTATTAGTTTTATTTTATTAATAATTTTTATGATAAGAGTAAAAACATTTCATGCACGATCCTACCTTACATTTGTCACAAATAGTATTTACAGCTATTTGCACACGTTTTACTCAAGCCATTGCTTGCAAACCATAGGCTGTAGAAGTGATAGATACATTACTGCCTACCCACTTGCAAATAAGAATGCCGTCATCTTTTTCAAGAGGCTCTATTGCTTTTCCTTTTTCCATTTTCTTCATTGTAGTTTTATTTGCTCCCAATATTAAAATTTTATTTTAAATATTTTTTCTAGTAAAAATCTTACTGTTTAAAATTACATTACAATAATGATTTCAATAAATTTCTCTCAAATCTTTCAATGCTTCTTTCTAGGGTGTTGGTTAGTGTCCGGCTCTTGTAGTAAGTTTTGTAATATTTTAATTTTTAACAGTAGCAGGTTATTATCAACAGGTTATACCAAGGAAGGTAACCTTAGGATGATGTGTAGTGTTGTACTCAGGCCATGTGTAAGTGATAAGTGTTCCTCTAATCTGGAGGATCAGTTATTTATGGCTGGCTGATGAAGGGGAGAGCAGTCAATACATTGGTCATGATAATTATTTTTACTGGAAAGTGAAAGTTTAGCAAAAAAGTAAGTTTGTCTTAAAAACTGCTTTAGTACCTTTATCCATTACGTTATTTACCTTTAAGACTAGGGAGAAGTAATTTAACTGTACATATTTGTATTATTGGGTTAAAAATAAATGGTATGACAATTTTGTGTTCGACTTCAGATCTTAGTTGAAAATTTTGCTGAGATATGGGAATATGAAAATTTGTTGACAATATTTTCCCTATAGCAGGAGATTAAATATCATTTTAAGAATTCCGCAAAAATTTCTAGGGAAAATCATCCGACTACGCCCGTTCTTATATCTAACTAACCCATTAAAAGTTTTGGCTCAAAGACAGCACACTACTGATGCATGTAATTACTAAATGACCTGGAAACTGGTAGCCTTTACCATTGTTTATATTAATTGTATTTAATTTTTATTAAAAATTTCTTAAAAATAATCAGGAATAAAATACATAAGGCAAAAAAAAAAAGTAATAGTAAGTATATAAAACTTATAATTACTTATTTTACATTGTTTCAGGAAAATCCTTCTAAACATCCTATCATTATTCTTAAAGACGTCCCTTTTGACCACCTCCAGGCTATACTTGAATTCATGTATGCTGGAGAGGTCAATGTTTCACAAGACCAGTTATCTACCTTTTTGAAGACAGCAGATCGGCTGAAAGTGAAAGGTTTAGCAGAGGCACCAATCAAGAGAGATATGTGAGACTTTAAATAAGAAATAATTGAATTTAATCTGTATATTATCCAAGAAAAGTTAATTATTAAAAACACCTTGTTTTAAAGTTATATGAAGAAAACTGTTGATCAGTTTGATTTGTAATTTGTATAGTAGGTGTGTGTATGTGTGTGTGACTGTAAGTGTGTTAGCTTGCTACATTATTTAGTTAAATCATTTGTTAATTACATAGTTATTATTCATTGTGTAATCTGTAATAATATTCAGTTTTAATGTGTAACTGAAGTGTACATAAAAACCAGACAAAATTATTGCGTTTTTTAATTTAATTTAGTTATAGACTGCCCTAGTAAGTAATCCATGGGAAACCCTATCCCTGCTGTCCATAATTTCTTCCAATCTCATTGAGGTACATAGCTAACTTCTAATTTCTGTACTCCTTATCTCTGACCCATATGTATGTTCCTTCGCAAAACAAGTCAAGATGCAAATTTCTAGGATTCTCTTTTTAATTAAGTTATTCACAGATTATTTAAAACACAAACTTAAATATTTTCACATATAATATTAAACTACCATAATGGCCGCTATGAAGGATATGTAATAATTCTTACCATATATTGAGTTTTCATGTAGTAAAAAAAAAACAAAGATATGCTGCAAAACTTCATAATATTCAGCAAAAGTGTTATATTATAAAATGAAATACCTCAAATTTACAATTATTTATTATGTAATGTTAATGTGTTATTGACAAAACCATTAATAAAAGCCTTATTAGCAAAACATAACTCTTCAAAATTATCAGAAATAATGAGGTAGAAAAAAGTGTAAAATTAAAATATGTATGCAACAAGCATCATCACCATTCATATATCATTAGTACTGAATGTAAGCCTCCTGAAGTAGTATTTTCCCCACTTCTCTGTTATGTGCCATAGCCATTCAATCATGGGTGTTTAGGATATTCTACTGCCACTCCATTTTGCCATCTTGTTTTAGCTTTCCAATGCAATTCCTGTAGTACAAAAAGTGCAAAAAATGTTCAGTAACTTTGTTATGATCCATAACTAGGATGTTATAAAAAAGGATCTTTTAAAGACTCACTTTGTTCTTTAATTTATATAGTATTTGATTTATATTAGGTAGTAAATTTAGTTTAAATCCATTTTCAATCCAAGGAATAAAATTTCAGGAATCATAATTTCTTTATTGGTTTTTACTTTTCTCAAGAAGAATAATTGACTTCAAGTATAGCAAATTGAATATACAAGGTATAATTTTTTTTTTATGTTTAAAAAATAAAAATGATTGTTCACACTAAATTCATAAATAAAACTAAAGATAGATATACAGTATTAGGGTAAAGGGAGAAATTAATAACACAATTTATAAGGTGTTTTGTCTTCCCCGCATCCCCACTGATGTCTGTTTCCTGTGAAAATTTATTTTAACAGGAATAAAATTAATTTGTTGACTAAAAAATAAATAGGTCTTTTCAAATTATTAAAACTCTTCATTGCAAAATAACGATTGTGTCTAAATCCTCTAATTCCAAAAGATTTCTAGATAGCTGTTTATAGTGTAACTATAATGTGATATGATAATTTTGTCCGGTAAGTTATATACTCTTGTATCATCAAATGTATCTATTGCACATTTTAATTAATTTTAAAATTTATTTAACAATTATTATTATTGTATGTATAAAATCAGCTTAGCTTATGTTCATATGTTTGTGTTAAGTTGTTTCTCAAAAAATTATTGCATTAACAGCATTCCTATTATGATTTTTTTTATCTAAAGATGCAAGTTTTTAAACTTAAGTTTTATAAGTTTCTTTGGGAAATATACACGAGCACACCAATGAAGTAAATCATTTATATTTTTTTAAGTCTTGCAGGTTAAATTAAAAATAACTTCAAGCTATTAAAAAAATGTATAGGTCAATGTATTTCCTTGTTAGTATAGACTTGATTAATCTTTTTAAATTTGCATTAGCTTTTAATGTATTTTGATAATGCTGACAGTAAATATGGTCAAGATTCATTTTTAGTATTGAATCTGCAATGTTATGTCCTAATGGGTTTTCTTGTTTTAGGAAATGATGTTGATCTCTCTCTCTCTCTCTCTCTCTCTCTCTCTCTCTCTCTCTCTCTCTCTCTCTCTCTCTCTCTCTCTCTCTCTCTCTCTCTCTCTCTCTCTTTCCTTTTTAATTCAATTATTTATTTTTTTGTTTAAAAAGTTTAACATAGCTTAGATTTAAATTATTTTCATAATGCCAATTTATTTTGATTTCATATATAACTATACAGTGAGAAATTTACATTTGAGATATACTCTTGGCCAATACAATTTATTACATGTCTTTACATTAAAAATATTAAATTTGTTATTTGGTAAAAATAAACTAATATAATAAACCCAAAACTATTTTAAAATAAAATTATATACGGGCTATGTCGCTTATTTGGAATTTTTAAAGTTGTGTATGTTTAGTTTTCTTATATTTGTATCTGGAGGTTATAGTTTTTTCGTAATTAATTTAATATTTCAGTTATTAAAAGGTTTAATGGGTGGGGGCAAAAATTAAAAGAAGTTTTGAGTTCATAATAGTCTCCAGAACATATTAATCTCAATTTGACTGAAAGCTTAAAAGCTTGATGGTGAAAGTGTTAGGTATTACTATTATAAAATAATAGATATCGTGGAAATTTCTTTTAATTTAAAGTTGTTTTTGCTATTGTGTTTTCTTATGTTTTTGCTCATAAGATATTTTGATTTTTCAAGTAATTTATAATGGTTAATCAGATTAACAATAACAAAATAAAGTTAGTGTGTATCAATAATTTACAATCAAGAATAATACAAAGTCATTCACTTTCTAGTTTTAGTACAGATGCCTTTCTGTTTTTATTATACTTTCTTTAATATACATAGTTGCTATTGTGGTAGTAGATTTTGTTCATTAAATATGAACCTATCCTAATAACAGAGAAACAAGAAAAACAGTTTAGTTAATAAACGAATTTAAATTTCATTATAGATTGTCATAAATATTTAGTTTAAAAAAAAAAAAGTGGTTTTCCTCAGTCGTATTGTTTAGTTGGTAGCTGAAAAAATGTTAAGACATGATAATGTCAAAAACTATATTTGGGTCAGTGCAAGAATCGACAAGGGAGGTGGGAAGATTGTTCCGCCTATGTCTACTTCTCTCTAACCCTGCCATTTTTTGAAGCTGAAATAGATATTAAGAATCGTTTAGTTAATCCTTCAATACTGTCTTATTAATTATTTTACTTTACTTAGTTTTTTTTATTAAAGATTTAAATTTTTAACCTCAGAAAAAATATTAGTTTGTTTTGTACCTTGAGCTCCAAAGTTAGTTAAAAAAAAAAAAAAACAGAGTAACAAATTTTTTTTTAATATTTAAAGAAATTTATTTTTGTAACGACTGTTAACTCACCTGTTTCAATACTGTACTATCAATAATTATGCTTTATTTCAACTTTGTCATTTGTAATTTAGGTTCTTTGATAAACTAACAGTAATCTTAATTATGTAGATGTATGAAATCACATTGAATTCAGAGTGAGTAATAGTGTTGCACAATTCAGCTTCTTCCTTTTCAAAGTAATCCCTCATTCTTTTAACAGTAACTCACGAATGTTTCAAACAGGATACCTTACTCCATTTTTAAAATTCTACTGAGTGGGTGGAGGGGAAAAAAGTGATAATTTTTATTAAAGTATTATATAATTATAACTAACTAGGTTGAACAAAATAAGTTTGACAATTATAGAAAGTAAATTAAACTATATATTAAATGGAAGAAAAGGTTTAATTTGTCTTCAACAACAAAAAGCTTTTGTAAATCTGATATACTATTCTATGCAATGAACGATAGAAGTCACCTGGTTGGATCAAACTGTTATTATTAAATCAAAAAGTGGGCGGGTTTTAGAGAGAGTAAGAAGGCATGGCTTTCTGAGTAGAGGGGGTTGATCCTTTCGCCAACCAGACTGTAGTGGTAATATCGAATTTGTACCCACCAAAATAATCATTTTTTTGTTAGACTGATCCTATATGTAGTTGGGCTAATATGGCTTAAAAAATGGGTCATCTAGAAATCTAGTTTAGTATGTATCTATTAAGAGATGTACCTATATGATTTTCGGGAGCAGTGGCTTTAGTTCTGTATCAGTAATGTCAAGATTGCTGAATCAAATCCTGTGGCCCCACTTTCTGTTGTGCATGTATTCACTATACCTGTATAATTAGAAGAGACTGCAAGTAAAATATTGATGAAAAAAGGCTTTATTAATCCTTATGATTGAAGTAACTTTATATCTTGAAACAGTACATTTTTTTTTCTTAATGTATTATTTTTGTGATCCTTTATTTAAAAAATTTGAAAATGAACCTCAATGTTCTGCATTATAGTTTTTACTAATCCATTCCGAAACAATAATTTTCTTTTATGGATGTATTATTGAAGAAGAAAAAACTAAATTTGACCTTGGATTTTATGGATTAAGGGATATTTTGTACACATCCAGCAGTAACAAAGTCTCAAAATAAAATTAATCTGTTTTGTGTCACTGACAGTGAATTTTATGGTGTTTTCTGTTGTTTAGTGAAAAAAAATAATTGTTTTTTCTCACTACATAAAGTATATTCCCTGCTTGCTTACAAATAAACTAATGGTTGATAAAAATTAAACACATGTATGTTTAATGCAAGGTATTTTTATTTAACGAAATAAAATAGAACTTGATAACTAAAATTTATTGTATATAGATAGGAGAAAAACAAATAAAATTGACAATTTCTTGGTACGACACAGCATTAATACACATCTGGTAATTATTATTTTTAAAATAGACCTCAAGTAATAGATAACACATGCTGTGAAATGGGTCTTATATGACAAATGTTTATGTTAATATACTTGTTAAAATGAAGGGTACAGGGGAAAATAAGAAATGCAGATTTGAAATTTTTGGAAAAAATTTCTTATTAATAAAATTTAATACTTTATTATAAAAATGATTACTTTTCGAGAGTTTTTTTTTTTTTTATTGGACAATGGAAATTCTCATTAATTAATTTTTTTGTATGTGAAGAGTTCTTGTAGATAATTATACATTCTTAATACTAAATGAAAAAATGGACTAGTCTTATATTTCCCGCTATACTCTCCATAAGTCAAATATTGTAAGTTTTTGGGGGGATTCTCATTGTAAACAAATATATACATAAATGTATGGTAAGCATATTAAAATAATGTTTAATAAAATGTATTTTTTTAATTGTACTGTTTTATTTAAACTATGTTTATCCTTATTATACATAGCCTATTGCTCAATGTTTCAAGTTGTTTATTTTTTTTTCCATTTCATATAAATTCTATATATTGTCTGTTAACTTGTTTAAAAAAATACTGATACTGTCCCTCTTACTTTAGTCTTTGGTTTAGCAACAATTTACAAATTATTTTTATATGTATTAGACTCCCTTAACTATTTGTTATGTACTTATAATTAAAGAAATGTTTTTACTGTATTTAAACTGCTGTCCAGAACAGAAGTGTGGCTTCATTTGAAATAATCCCAAAAAAGAAATTTAAAAAAATTGGGTCTAGTATTTTATGTTGGGATTATTACAAGCCCAGTGATCTCCAGAAGGAAGGCGCAAGTTGCGCCATTAATATTTTTGAGGAATATTTTCACAGGGTTTTCAAATATCATAACAGTTTCTCATATATGTGCCTGTCATATAGGCAGCCATACTGCAAAAGCCTGTAAGAATAAAAACAAAAATATTCAAGAAACGAAAATTTCAATTTTATTTAACAGTATTTTTTCTGTAGGCACAAGACATAGATAGAATACTCTATGTAACTTACTTGAAAATAGTTTTTTATATCCATTTTCGTAACTTACAGGAATTCAATTCTAACTTACTGTTTTTTATCTAAATTGAAAAATAGAAATTAAAGCAATCAAATTCATTGCAGTAGCACCAATAACTTTGTTAGTAATGATCAAATTATGAAAGAAGAAACAAATTCAGTTTCCACTAAGTAAAGAAATGATACTTCAAATGAAATTTTGTAAAACAGTTGACCAGAAGGTAAGTATTTAAACACTTGCATCATTCACTTTTATGTCTCCCACTATAGGGGATCCATC